CAATATTTATTTCGTCTATCGGCCTGGACACTCGAATAGACTTATTAAAAAACAATATGCCCTCCGGAAGGATGTGACCCTGCACCTTTGTTTACAGGAGAAAAGCACCCCCTTTAGCTGGTAGGCTACGAAGAGCTTTACAGTCAATCAAGGTTCTATTTGCCTTCAAAGCACAATCACTCGTTCAGATTTCCTCGAAATAGCATATTTGTCCAGTTTCAAATCCGAAACACAAACAAAGCAATTTCTAAAGAATTAATGGATTTATTGTTTAATCCGATATATTTGTATTACATCAAACCTTATTTTTAATGGATAATCCGTAATTACGACAATACGTGTAGCCAATAAAAATAACATTTGAAGTAATAAAAGTATTTTGTATTAAAAAATAAATCTCTCTCTCTCTCTCCCTCTCTCTCTCTCTCTCTATATATATATATATATATATATTCCCTGATATTGAGCATTTTAACCCGTAAAACTATATATATATATATATATATATATATATTATTAAAAGTGTAATTTTAAAAACATTGGTTCCTGCTGCTATTAACGCATTGCTCTTCAACTGAATTGAGCTCTCCAGGCCACTGGTGTATTTCGTATAGAAAACCGTTAACATTTCCCTTTCTCCTTGCCGTGCCTATGAGTAGGATTTCTGACTGATGCCAAATCGAACTGCTTTCGATCCCGGCTAGGAACACTCTGGCGTCTAGCCACACTGAAGAGCTGTGAAACAACAAAACAGTCTGACAATATATATGTGTGCAAAACTATATATATATATATATATATATATATTACACGGCAAAAAACCAAAAACTGCCTCATGTGGCTATAAATTTGTTTCAACCAGCGCTAAATACGTTCAATAATGCGTTGAATAAAACCAATGTATTTAGCGCTGGTTGAAACAAATTTATACCCACATGAGGCAGTTTTAATTTTTTTTTCTGTTATAATAAATACATTGAGCTCTTTATCGGGTCAGTTTTAATATAATATTTGATATTATTAGCATCCACCATCTATTACCTGTAATATATATATATATATATATATATATATATATATATATATATATATATATACAAATGTAAAAGAACGAATAGTAAGATTTCAGCATTCAAAACATTAATTTAAAACAGGGCTGAATACAAAAGTAGAGCAATAAATATTTATTAATTATGCAGTGTTACATTAGAACATGCACATACCCACTATAAAACTGTACATCTTGTTTCAACATTAAATTTTTTTTTAACTTTTCATCAAACGGAAATACAGTTGGTTGAATTTTTCCCTTCTTAATTTATTCCATCTCCTCCCCCTTTTTTCCAACTCTTATTTCTTTGCTTGACCTTTTTCTTCTTCTCGCTCTTGCTGTTACTAATCACGTAGCTTCCTATCTTTCTCCACATGTAAATTCTTTTTTTACCTTTTATGGGAAATTTTCCAATGACGGAAGTGGAAGATGTGCTTTGTTAAGTGCATTTCGGAATAAAATATGTTAGTAGCATCATGATTTCCCACCTGATGAAACGTTAAAAAAAATTAACGTAGAAATAAGATGTACAGTTTTCTAGTGCATTTTCTAATGTAACACTGCATAATGGCATCCCGCTCTCACCCTTTCACTGTTGAAACTCCTAAATGTAGCCGTCTCTTCTACTCCAATAGCTTCATATCTCGCACCTCTCGCCTGTGGAACTCCTTTTCTTTTTCCGGTTTCCCTGATAGCTATAATCTCCAACTATTCAGATCTAATGCCAATCGACATCTCCAGTTGCCTTGATCTATCCACTATCTTTCTCCTCATCCTTTCCTCTATCACTCCTATCTGCTCTCGCTCCAAATCCTCTGTAACCCCTTGCGTGCTAGTGGCTTCCAGCCTTGCTTGGGGTGAAATGCTTAAGAAAAGAAAAAAATATATATATATATATATATATATATATATATATATATATCAACACGAGATTAATACAAGTTACATTTGCTGAGTAACAACCATGAAGGTAATCTGTCGAGAAAATACGACACTACAGTAAACTCTGTTATCGCAGTTTGATAAAAATAGACAAAACAATTTTTTTTTATCTTTTCTGAAGTGTGTATACTGTTTTTTGGGGGGGGGACTCTGTATATATGTAGTCATAAAAATTTGCACCAAAAAGACGAAACACTCTAAACAGCACAGGGCTCAATGCAAAATGCAAACATATAAAAAGATAATAAAGTTAACGTTCTCTCCTAAGTGTTTCCCACGATTTTCATATTATTGTGTGAACGGAAATCGTCTCGCGATACAGAGGAACAGAGACTGCGTATACAAAAGTTGGTTGAACCTGGTAAATCAATGTTTCGTGAGGTGGGACAAATGATTAGGGCATCATCGATATGTCATACATGTCATCAGAGTTTTAGGAGATTTTACTTAAACGGTCCTAATTCTTTAAAAGGAAACTATCACAAAGAGTAAGCATACGAAACGGCCAACCAATGAAATCAGTTACATGCCATCACGTGATACACGCTTGGGCGATCATGTCTTTTTTCTACCTGTCTATGTGACAGGACACAAAGCCTGGTTAAGGCGGTGGAGAATATAGAGAGGGAATTAACATGAGATAACTGATAACTGACATCCATTAGACATGGTACGTAGAAATAAAAACAGTCTACCCCAGCGAGCGAAATAAAGGGTTCAGTTCGACATTCTAACCACCAGAAGAAGGCCGGAGCGTACAACGGCCGAAACGTTTGATAAATATGGCGACAAAGATGAGGACAATTGTCCAAATAATGTAAATAATGTCTTTTTCTATTCATAACTGACCAAACAGAATTTTTTTCTGCAGTAAGTTGGCGTTTCTTTCTCCATTAGACTGGTTGTCAACGAAGGCTATAGGATCCAGTCCTGCGATTCAGCCCATAGCTGCGTAGACGAGAGAAGAGATGGGTTCATACCTTTCTAAAGTTTATTTCCGCTGAAGTTAATGTAACGAACCCAATGGATAATTTCCGGTGGACCTCATTATATATATATATATATATATATATATATATATATATATATATATATATATATATATATATATATTGCATGGTGCAGTGGATAAATTGTCTTCTAAATTAGGCAAAATTGAAAATAATACTGACACCTCATTTTAATAGATATATTTACCAAAATTACACAATAATATCTTGAAATAGCAATTTCATTCAATAAAATCGCCATTGATTTCAACTACCACCACCAGACGACTTCAGAATCTCCTGCAACTCTTCTGGTAGGGGAATCGTTCAGTATTCTTGATCATATAGTAGCAATGATTTTGCATAGCAGTTCAGTGCAGTTTTCTTTATTTCTAACGAAAGTTTCCTTTTTCTTAATATTTTCATTAGTTTTTTATGTCCTTGAGATTATAGCGGACTCTTTTTTATTCTGTTTTCTTTAAATTTCCACGTTACTGAGATGCTCCGTCCATGGCATTCTCAGTATCCTCCTGCAGAATCAAATCTCTGTTGCTTCAAGTCTCCACTTTATGTGGGACGAAATTAATTGCTATGTAGGAGGATTGATATTACATAGCAGTTCAGTACTTTTTTCTTTGTTTTTAATGAAATTTTCTTGTTTCTTAATACTCTGCTTAGCTTTCGGAATGCATCTTTTTGCTCTTCCAATGCTTCTTCGGATTTCAGTGTCACATTTTCTCACCTCTCCAGATATTTAAATTGTCTAACTTGCTTGATTTTGATATTTTCATTTTGTAGCTCGCACCCTGGGACGTTCTTCTTGCTGACAGCCAAACATTATGTCTTCTTACAATTGACTGTTTTTCCTCAATCCTCATCATCTGTGGAGAAGCTATCCAGAGCAAGATTGTTATCACATAGCAGTTTGGGGATCTTTTGGCTTCTAGCGAAATTTTCCTTTTTCTTAATCCTTTGAGCTCAGACGACCTAACGTAATTCCCAGACACCGGTTGAACAGTGGGTAAACACTTGTACCTATTTTTTATCTACCCTGAAACATTACATAACAATTATTTGCGGAATTTTGACTCAGTAGTTCAGGAGGAAGGGTTAACATTGTTCAGGGACGTAGAGCTCTAAGGGTTAATAATTTCTTTCTCTCTTGGAAATCATCCTTTGCTCAAGGAATTCCAGAAAGTCAGAATTGATTTCGATTTTAAGATACGAAAGGCAGCAAAATTCGACGTTTAAGTTGTCTTTTACTTTTTGATTGACGCAAAAGACTCATTTTGGGACAAGGTATTCAGTGACGATTGAAAAAAAAATGGATCGAGATTCAAAATTTGATCCATAGGGAATCTATTGGGTGACATTTTTCTTGGAATCTCTTCATCTAGTAAACGATTGAACATATCAGACGTCAGCTATGTTTTTTTAACGTATGAAATATGATCAATGATTTAATTAAATGACATTTTTTCATTGTCCTCCAAAATATTAAGAAGGTAATTGTGGAGAAATATTATTGGCCGATTGTCCCATGTGACATCTAACCCATTGTGTCAAAGTGTCAGGCTGATCTTCACTCATCCAATCCACAGGGCGACCAATTTCGTCAGTCGTTCTTTTACATATAGGCATTGCGTCCATACATTCCGCTCGTCGTCGGCACGACCGTGCGGTCTTTTGAAAAGGCAAAGCCGTAGAACCGACATTGATTGATCGATATTCTGAAATAGATTTTAACTCGTAATCAGACAGTCTGATTACTGCCATTGGTTAGCAATGATTGATCACCTCCGCGCGTTCGCAACGTATTTGTCCAGTTGTAAGTGGAGATGTCTCACGCTTTATCTGTATACACACTATCCAACACGCACACCATTTCTTCTTCTTCTTCTTCTTCTTCTTCTTCTTCTTCTTTGCATAAACACCCTCTCACCTCCACTCTTAACTTCTATATTTTTCATTCCTTACCTTTTGTCTCTTTCTTTTATTTATAACCGTATTACACCCCAATGACTATCGCTTTTTCCTTTTCTTATGGCTTATTTCTTTTTTTCTTCATCTCTTTTCTTTTTCTTTCTTTTTTCTTCATCCCTTTTCTCATCTGCTTCTTTCTTCTTCCTTCTTTTCTTCGATTTTCTCTTCAACTTTTGTCCTACATCTCTCTCTCTCTTTTTCTTCTCGCGTTCTTTTTTTTTTTTTTTTGTCTTCTGAAATTTCCACTTCTTTTCGCTTCCTACTCATCTTCTTTTTCCTTAACAATTTCTCCCTCCCCTCTCCACCACTAAATTCAATGTCTTCCTCTTTCGCCTCCTCCTCTTATTATTAATTCTTCTTTAATTATAGTAATATCACTTCTCTTTTTTCTTCAGCCACTTTCTATTGTATAACTTGTTCTCCCCCTCCTCCTTCTCCTCAAATTTATTCCTCTTCCTCCTTTCTTTTCCTCTTTTTTATTCTATTCATATTTGTACGTCAATATTGTCTTAGAAACATTTCTGTAATATTTTCTTTCTTTTTCTTCCCACTTTCTTTCCAGTTTTCTTAAACCTTTTATTTTTTTCGCCTTTCTTCTGCTTCTTCCATCTTCTTTTCTTCTTCTTTTCTTGCCTATTCTTCCCTTTAATCTTTCACTTCTTGCTTACATCACTAATTCGTTACTATCTCTTCTTCTTCTTCTTCTTCTTCTTCTTCTTCTTCTTCTTCTCCTCCTCCTCCTCCTTTCTCCTCTATAACTTTTTCTTCTCCTCCTCTTCCTCCTCCTCCTCATTCTCCCTCAGCCTCCTCCTTCTTTTTCTTCTTTGCACTCCCTTTCAAATTCAAATGATTGATTGTGTGACTTTTTCATGCACTCGGCCGGCCATTACCAAAGAGCGCCTCCGGATATTGAGCCAATATCGATAAATTTTCCATCGATCGACGAACACATTTCCTGTCATATCTCCTTTCAAAATGAAATTACGCTTATTCTGGAAAAAAAAACTGGCACCAAATTGTAGTGAGGTGTTGCAATTCCGGTTTTCAAGTTCAACTCATTCCAGAAAAGAAGCGAAGTTGATTCCCATAAACTTATAAAAAAAAAAAATGTTTTCTTTTTCATTGTGTATTTAATCTGTTAATAAATGTTAATTGTGAAACAAAAAAAATCTCCGATCTGTAAACTTTAAGCAACGATCAATTTTTAAAATCATGAAATGCTAACTTTTTGTTGAGATTTTATTTTATTATATTATTAATTTAAAAACAATACCTACTTGGAAAGAGAGAGATGAAATTTCTGAGACATGTAATGAGGAAGGAAGGCTGGAAAGACTTAACACTCACAGTACATAATAAAGGCAAAAGAACCTGGAGGAAAATGCGAGTAACCTATTAAACGAGTTTGAGATTATGCAATGCAGAAAAGAGATAAAAAAAATGGCTGGTAAAAGTTCAAAAGAAACTTAGACCAAGAAAGGAATAAAGTTTTGGATAACCAGAAGCTAAAAGGAAATAGCAGATAAATGAAACGGAAGAATGTATATACCTCTATTAAATCTTTTCCCACATATTTTTTCTTTTTATCTTACCTCAGCTGTAATATTTGTTTAAAGAATAGACCATCTTTAAACTTTTTATATGATAGTTATATTAGCAAAGAAAGTTTGTCATCAACAGCATCCTCATTAGGTCCATAACCGTCGTAGGGTTAAATAATAGATTAGCAAAATATTATTTTTTAGGGAAGTCGTATCGCTGCCCGGATTTCTTCAGGTTGACCTTAGGGACCAGGTATAAGACAAAATAAAGGAAGTCGATTTTGATTGGCTGAACTAGAGTGGGAATGGTAGATAGAGAAAGGTTTTTTTCGGGAAAGTCGAGTTTTAACCGTCGAACAATGTAGACGTGTTCCCTGTCGTGCTTGAATCTGCTCCCCAGTGAGGTGAGAGCGACCCCACTGGATAGTTAGAAGATGTATACGTGGACATTTTTAAAATAGTAAGGTTAAAATTTTCTGTGTTGAACTATTATCTCCGAACCAAAACAACTAGCGTTCATTGGCTTTAAAAGAAGAAGGCAACATTATAAACGAATGGAGCCTGACTGCCAAGACCTCCCAGCATGGGGAAGACCGTCGCCCAAGACCTCCCAGCATGGGGGAAGACCGTCACCCAAGACCTCTCAGTATGGGGGAGACCGTCGCCCAAGACCTCTCAGTATGGGGGAGACCGTCGCCCAAGACCTCCCAACATGGGGAAGACCGTCGCTCAAGACCTCTCAGCATAGGGAGGACATTCGCCCAAGACCTCCCAGCATTCTTCTAATTGATTTTTAGTCCTTTCTTCTCACTTTCCTTCACTAACTTCTGTAGGATATTTTGTGGTTTTCTTTCCGTGACTGCTGTCAACACTGTGCCATCTGCATGTCTTATGTTGTTACGACTGTGACCGCGAATAATAAATCCTGATAGGACTTCTACTTCTCTCAGAATTGCCTCACAGAATAAGTCTTACACACCTTTCTAGTTTTGTATACCGACTGAACTCATTTTTTCTATGCGTATACATTTTCTATGCGTATATATATATATATATATATATATATATATATATATATATATATATATATATATATATATATATATATATAATTAATTGATTTAAATATAGTTTTTTTCCGCTACAAAGTTCTAACCATGTTTCAAAAATGGAAGGTCTTAATTTAATTTTGTAATTAAATTAAAGACATTAGTTCCATTTCAAAATGTCTTTAATTTAATTACAAAATTAAATTCGGACCTTCCTTTTTTGAAACATGGTTAGAACTGTGTAGCGGAAAAACCATATTTTAAATCAATTAATTTATAATATTAATGCTCTGTAAATTTACATTGAGAACTATTTTGTAAAAATAAAAATATCTATAAGAACACGGATTATATATCTTACTGTTCTTTCTTTTATATATATATATATATATATATATATATATATATATATATATATATATATAAGAAGACTCTCACTATTTAAATTGATAAACAATCGCCTCCCACCATATCTGATGTAACAAATGATCATGGACGATCAATCATTTTTAAGTCTATAACAACTTTAGAATAGCTTTTTTATTTAGCCTGAGTTTTAAAATCATGACAATATTATTTTTTTACTTTCTTCAAGATCTTGTCCTTTTTGAAACTTTATCTTTTTGACATGATGTTCATTTGACATTTAATCAGTTCAACCTTATTTACCTGTTCGGCACATTGTCCATTGTAATAAATATGGCGGCAAAGATGAGGACAATAGTCCGAATAATGTAAATAGTGTATATAATACCTCATCTCAGAAATATAGACATATAATAACAGAGAGTAGTTTAGTTTTGGAAGCGTTAAAATGAACAAGCGATACTTTGCCACGGTTAACAACAAACTGAAGGTCTTGTTTTTTTTACACCAGTCGCCAAGTTGACCTTATCAAACTGATCAAACTTTGGATCGAGACAAAAGTAAATCGTTGTGTCATCACTTTAATTCCTAAGTGAAGACGTAATGCCATCGGGAAGGTCATTAATGAAAATCAAACACAAAGTAGGACCAAAGGTAGAGCCTTGGGTGACACCTGCATTAGTATGAAAGGATCTAGAAGAGTGGCCATTCGGGATAACTTTCATTTCACGATTTGATAAGAAAAACTGAATCAGTTTTTGTTTTGTTTTTTTTTCAATTTGTGAAGAACCTTGTCGAAAATTTTCGAGATATCCAAAGCTATTGCCCGAGCTTCGCCATTTTTATTTAATGCTTGATAGAATCTTTCTTCAGTTATCAACAGTATATCAGCATTAACCTAGAGAAATGAAAGCCGTATTGCTTGACTGAAAAAAGACCATGTGAGATGCTTAACCAATCCAGCATTGATTAGAGCCTCCAGTAATCTCCCAAAAGAGACAAAAGTATATTTTGAAGAGTAGGACGGTTCACCTGAGTTCTTAAAAACTGGAACAACAAATAAGGATTTCCAACAGGCATGAAAACAAGTGGCAGCGAGACATGTATTATACAGTTTAGAGAGAACAGGAGCCAGTTCGGGAGCGGACTTAAGCAACGTCGAGCCTGGTCAGTACCTAGATGGATGATTACTTGGATGTGCGTGTGGTGTAATGGATATTGGCTTGGAATTGTTAATCGGAGACTCGAGTTCGATTTCTTATAATCGCTTATGAAAATTGTGAACCCACATATTCTTCCACATTATTACGACCAAAAATAAAATAAATACGTAAAAAAATATATAAATTTAGGCATTAAATAACCCATAGAGGTGTTGATGTGCAGCTAAACAAATACAATCAAACACCCGATAGTAGCGGATTCCATCACGCATTCATGCACTATGCAAACAAAACGTTAATCCTCAAGACCCTCGCCTATACAAAGGCATTACCGTTGGATCGATTATGGTGAGCGTGTTGCTGGACATTGTCTTAACTAAGGGTAATTGCTCTTTGCTGAGCTGCGACGCTCCCTGTGGCCGAGTGGTCTTAAGTACGTCGGATCAAAGGGTAATTTCTCCTAAAAAATGGGAGGTCAAGTTCTAACACTGAAGGAGAATGTATTTAATTAAGTTGTTCGAATGTGCAGGCCCGTAATTGTTATTCGCAATATATGAGAATAAAATAATAAAAATACGGTGCCAAATCAAAGATAAAGGATACAGTGTTTCTAATAAGAAGATATTTTTATCCTATATATAGGATAAAAATATAGTTTTATGGTGGGCTACATTTATAGGTTAACGTGCTCAATATCAGAGATATCCCGGATGTAAATATAAAATGGACGCCGACGTCAACACAAAGCGGCGACAGTCTGTTTCCTGCTTCAACGAGACTTGGCCTGAAGATTTGCGTTCAGGAATGAAACTGACTATGGCCGCTAGTGTCCACTAATATATATATATATATATATATATATATATATATATATATATATATATTCAGATTTATAACAAATGCATGTTATAACAAAATTTTCTAGTGATTTTATAACATGCATTTGTTATAATTTTGAATAAATATTATTAGCTCCACTCGGTATTGAGCACTCTCTTAAGAATAATGATTTTATTTATTGAATTTTATTCCATGTGTACCAACGCTGTATTTGTGTATATATATATATATATATATATATATATATGTGTGTGTGTGTGTGTGTGTGTGTGTGTGTGTGTGTGTGTGTGTGTGTATCGTATTTTTTTATGTCTTATAAAATCTTTATCCATGAGTGAAAAATAGATTTAAATCTGATATTTAAGATGTCAGCTTTTATTATTCAAATTGAATTTTTCCCTTTAAAATTCCTATTAACTGGGTAATGTTTGAATTTTATGCGTTATATATATATATATATATATATATATATGTGTGTAGGGGATGCACACTGCTGACGAGTCCCAAATATAGGATGAAACGGCCGTCCAGTGCATTCTGTTGAGGTTTTTTTCAGACTCGATGAATTACATAAATATAATTATCAAATCCTCCTAATAATTTGTATCATGTGTATATCAACGCTTGAACCGGCTTCTAGAGTGAGCGGCTTGGTGAGAGTAGTCGTGGCTCCAGGGGGCACAGTCCTATGGTTACAGAGAACTCAGTAGAGTTCCACCACGGAATATGTGAGCGAGCGGCGCTATATTGAGTCTGATTTGCAATCTCTTCGTCGCCCAGGCCCATTAGAACAGTTGGTATGATGTTTGCATTACAGGTTTCAATTCTCGGTAGTGGATGCGCGCTGCTGATGAGTCCCAAATATGGGACGAAACGGCCGTCCATTGGATGCTGTTGAGTTTTTTTTTCAGACTCGATGAATTACTTATTTATAATCATCTCAAATGCTCCTAATTTCTATCGTGTGTGTATGTATATATATATATATATATATATATATATATATATATATATAGTTTCTATTATGTTTAATATATATATATATATATATATATATATATATATATATATATATATATATATATATATATAAAAAACAATAGAAATTTTATGTCGATTAATTTTAAGATCGACTTTTTCAAATCCCAAATAAGCCATCTCAGAATTCTGTCTGAAATTGTCCAAAGTTCGCAAGAAATATGGTCTAAGCTTTCAACTTTCTTCTGTGGTTGATTGGGACAGGAAATGGTTTGTAAACTTTAATGCCTCCAAAATGAAACTGCTCTCCTTTACCCACCACAGACAACCTTACCTGTCTCCCATCAGAATGACTGATTCCAAACTCCTTGAGAGTGCCTCATTACGCCTGCTTGGTTTCACACTGTCCACTGACATGAGGTGGAATAAATACATTGAATCAATAGCTTCATCTACCGCAGGGAAATTTGGCTCTCTGTGTCGTGTCAGAAAGTTTATTCGTCTGAGTCCATCCTTCAAATTTATAAATCAAACAGCCGTCCTTGCATTGAATATTGCTGTCATATATGGTCTGGTTTTCCCGCTGTACGTTTCGAGGCCCTTTACAAAATCCAGAGACGAATATGCAAGATGATAGGTCCTGATCTGGCATCTAGTCTACAATCGCTATCCCACAGACGTGCTGTGGCCTCCCTTTGTCTCTTCTATAAATATTTTCACGGCAACTGTTCCGACGATCTACTTTCGCTGGTTCCGGGACTTCATGAATTTAAACGAGCTACCAGGCTGGCATCTTGGTCTCACCCTTTCAGTCAAAACGGTTTGAATGTAACCGTCCCTTCTACTCAATCAGCTTCTTCTTTCGCGCTTCCCGTCTGTGGAACTCCCTTCCCCTTATATGCTTCCACGATTACTATAATCTTCAAATATTCAAGTGTAATGTCAATCGACATCTGGCACTTTGAGCTCTTTCCCCGTCCTCTTCGAAGGCGTCTCTTTGCTCTTCTTCTCAATCCTCTGTAACCCCTTGCGTGCTAGTGGCACTCCCGCCTTGCTTTTTTTAAGGTGAATTGTCTTAAAAAAAAAGTCATCATCAGGGTAGATAGAGACAGTTGGTGAGTTATGTACAACTGGTGTGTGTAGTGACGTAGGTAAAAAGTTTGTGACATCAGCGAGATGTCCATCTGCTTTTTTGTGTCTTTTCCTATACATTTGAGGATTAGGGCCCTTGATTTATAACTGTTTTTATTTATTGATGCTTCTTTTGTTGTTGTTGTTGCTGCTGTTTGTTGTTGTTTTTGTTGTTTTTTTTGTTTTTTTTTTTTTGCATGCGTATTTTTTAATCATTTCACCTCAAGCAAGTCTGGGTGGGTTACAAAGAGTGAAAGTTGAGAGAAAAGACTGGTTATAAAGAGTGGGATGGAGAAATAATAAAAGATGAACGGGATTCAAGAAGATAGAAGATGGCGATTATTTAAATCTTTCAAGATTGTAATTATCCAAGAAGCAAGTAAACGGAAGAGAGTTCCACGGGCGAGAAGTGCGAGAAAAGAAACTTGGAGTAGAAGTAGCGGTTACATTTAACTATTTCAACAGTAAAAAGGTGGGACCGAAATACCAACCTAGTAGCGCGCTTAAAATCATGAAGTCGAGGCACCGAGGAAAAATCTCGCCAGAGCAGTTATCATGAAAATATTTGTAGAAACGACAGAGGGAAGCCACTATTTATTACACCACTCTCACATTGCTTCCATTAAACTGAACTGAATATCTATTTCTGCGCGTGTATGTGAGAGATAAAAGGAAAGAAGATGTGTGTGTGTGTGTGTGCGCGCGCACGCGCGTGCGCAACTGAATGGCGTAATGTAAGGCGTAGCTGATAGCTTATCCGTCAAAAAGTTAAAAATGTTCGACAGTTAATATAGCGAAGGATTAAAATGGCTGTTGAGTTATCGATTAAAAGGAATTTAATTTAATCTTTTAATCTGCTTTAATTAATTCTTGATAAGCAGATTTTTAAGCTTTACAGCAAAGCAAAATGATCGACATCGTTTTTATTTCCGTCATCTTATTGGTTTCTTTCCGCCATCTTATTCATTCAGTTATCTTCGTTAGTTTCGTAGCTTTCACGCTTCACACCACACTCTTCTCTTCCTCCTCTTTGTTCTTTCTTCTACTGTTTGTTCTTTCTTTCTTTCTTTTTCCCACGGAATTCTTCAGTTATTACCCCCACCCTCTCTGTATTCTTGTACATTTTCCATCTTCTTTATCTGGTTCTGATTTCAACTTGTCTTTCATATAATTATTTTCTTCCGTCTTCAAAACTTCATACAATGATTTCTGTCTCCTTCTTTGTTTTTCTCTTTACTTCTATCATTCTTTTGATCTTTCCTTCTTCTATCTTTCTTTTTCTCTCTACTTCTTATTTCTTATTCTCTTTCCTTCTATGTTTCTTTTTCTCTTTCCTTCTTCTAGCTTATCTTTCTTTTTCTCTTTCCTTCTTCTATCTTATCTTTCTTTTTCTCTTTCCTTCTTCTATCTTTCTTATTCTCTATACTTCTATATTTCTTTTTTCTCTTTCATTTATCTATCTTTCTATTTTTCTTTCCTTCTTCTATCTTTCTTTTTCTCTTTCCTTCTATCTTTCTTTTTCTCTCTACTTCTATCTTTCTTTTTTTTCCTTCTCCTATATTCCATTTTCTCTTTCCTTCTTCTATCTTTCTTTTTCTCTCTACTTCTTATTTCTTTTTCTCTTTCCTTCTTCTATATTTCTTTTTCTCTTTCCTTCTTCTATCTTATCTTTCTTTTTCTCTTTCCTTCTATCTTTCTTTTTCTCTCTACTTCTATCATTCTTTTTTTTTTCTTCTCCTATATTCCATTTTCTCTTTCCTTCTTCTATCTTTCTTTTTCCCTTTACTACTTCTTTCTTTTTCTCTAATCTCTTCTATATTTCTTTTTCTCTTTCCCTGTATATTTTTTCTTCTCTACTTCTATCTTTCTTTTTCTCTTTCCTTCTTCATTTTCTTTTTCTTTTCTCTCTTTAATCCGATCATTTTTCTTCCTCGTTTGTGCCATGCTTTGTGGTTTTCTATTTGGCAACCACATTTTTCTTATTTTAATTGACTTTCAAATTTTTATTCTTTGACTTTATTCTTAAATTTATTATTATTATTATTATTATTATTATTATTATTATTTTTCCTTTGATTTCTGTTGTATAGACATTTCCTTGCGGGTCCTAACCAGGTTTCTGGTTGGGAAACCTAAGGTTAGAAATGGCTTCATGGCATTTTCCACTTTTCATTTTTATAACAAGGATCACACACATTTTACATTAAGCTCTTGGTAATATGTGAACTGTTTTTTGTGGATACAATTTTTTGTATTTCTTTAGGGTATGGGCTACCAGGTATCCATTCAATCAGTCTATCGTAACCTTTTCCAATCAATCTGAGGGCTCCAACTACAACTGGATGTCCACATTTTTTAGATTTCCATTTCAAGATTCGTGTATTTTGATAGTTTTTTTTTTGTAATTATTATTTATTTATTTCATTCTCTTCCACATCATTCTCTCTTTCTCTTTCTCTTCCTGCTTCTCCCCTCCTCCTTTTCTTCTTATGTTGCTCTGCCACTTCCTCGTCTTTCTTCTTTTTCTCTTTCTCCACTCACTTCTTTTTCTTCCTCTCATTCTTTTCCTCCTCCTTCTTGTCCTCACCGTTCTTCTTCTGCTCTTACTTGGATTTCTTAGTTCTTTCCATTTAATTTTTTTTTTATATATTTTAAATTTTTCACAGGTTACATTTGTACGAAGAGGCTAAGATAGACTAGAATATCAGCCCATCCAAAACCACCCAAGTTTTGGGATCAATTTGAAAAGAAAGAAAGAAAGAAAGAAAGAATCTAAATGAAAACCTTGCCATATTACGTAAGGAATTTTTCGTGAAATTCTTTCCCTGGTTCAGACAGTTGGAATGTATCCAGGGAAAATCAACGATTTTCTTTTACTACAAAAACAGAAAGACACTCCAAAGAATTATTTCAGATCACCATCATAATTTTCGGGGTGATGGTTAGACTGAGTTCAACTAACCTCCACCTCCATCACTCCTGTTTGGACCCCTGAGTATAACAGAAGACAAAGCGAAATAGAGAGAAAGGCAAGCAAGGAAAAGGACTCATCCCCTTCAATCTCTCTCTCTCTAATTCTCTGTCATAATTTCACTAACGCTCTTTCTCTTACCTTTTTTCTCTTCTCCCCTCTCTTTTTCTCTATATCTTTCTTCTAACTTACTCTTTCTCCCTCCCTCCCTCTCTCTCTCACTTTTCTGTTCTTTTCTTTCTCAGTTTCATTCCTTGTGTTACTCTTTTTCTCGCTTTTTTTCACTCTTTCTTTCGCTCTGTTACCTTCATTCTTTTCACGCCTTTTCTCTCTCTTTTTCCTATCTTCCCTTTTTCCTCTCCATATTTTCTCGTTCTCTCTTTCTTTCTCTTTCTAAATCTTTCTCACTCACATTTCTCTTCTCTCTTTTCTATCCTTCTTTCTCTCATCATTCTCTCTATCTGTCTCTCTCTCTCCTTTTTCTCTTTCTATTTTCTCATTATCTTTTTTTCTCTCTCAATGTTTCTCACTCACATATTCCCCTATATTTTATATCTTTCTCTCTCTTTCTTTATCTCTGTTTCCCTTTCTTTTCCTCTCTATTTCTTCTTCTTACTCTTTTCCTCGCTCTTTCTTTCTCTCTTTCTTTCTTATATTGCTCTTTCTCTCTCTCTCTCTCTCGCTTTTTCTCACACTTTTCTCTCGATCTTTTCTCCCTGTCTTTCTCTATTTCTCTCTTATTTTCTCGTTCTCCTTTTCTTTTTCTATTTCTGTCTTTCTCGCTCTCATTTTCTCTCTCTTCTCTATCCTCCGCCTCTCTCTCTCTCTTTTCCTCTCTCTCTATATATATTTTTCTCATTCGCTGTTTTTTTCTCTCTCATTCTTTCTCATTCACTTTTTATCACTTTCTCTCTCTTTCGTTATCTCTAGCTCCCTCGCTTTTTCCACTGTATTTCTTCCTCTCTCTCTCTCACCCTTTCGTTTTCTCCCCCCTCTCTCTCTCTCTCTCTCTCTTTCATCCTTTCTTCTTCACTGTCTTTGTCTCTCTCACCCTTTCTTTCTTTCTATCTCTCTCTCTGTCTATCTATCCATCTCCCCTTTTCTCTCGCTTTCTTTCATCACTCTCTCTCTCTCTCTCTCTTTCGTTATCTCTAGCTCTCTCACTTTTCCACTCTATTTCTTCCTCTCTCTTTCTCACCCTTTTATCTTCCCCCTTTCTCTCTCTCTCTCTTTCATCCTTTCTTTTTCACTCTCTTTGTCTCTCTCACCCTTTCTTTCTTTCTCTCTCTCTAACTGTCTATCTATCCATATCTCTTTTTCTCTCGCTTTCTTTTATCTCTCTCTCTCTCTCTTTCGTTATCTCTAGCTCCCTCCTTTTCCACTCTATATCTCTCTCACCCTTTTGTCTTCCCCCCTCTCTCTCATTCATCCTTTCTTTTTTACTCTCTTTGTCTCTCTCACCCTTTCTTTCTTTCTCTCTATCTCTCTCTACCTCTCTATCTATCCATATCTCTTTTTCTCTCGCTTTCTTTTATCACTCTCTCTCTTTTTCTTTTTCTCTAGCTCCCTCGCTTTTCCACTCTATTTCTTCCACTCTCTCACACCTTTTTTCCTTCTCTCTTTCTCTCTCTCTCACTCTCTTTCTCTCTCTCTCTTTCTGTCTCTCTCTCTCTCACTCTCTCACCCTTTTCTTTATTTCCATCTCTCTATCTATCTATCTATCTATCTTTCCATTTCTCCCTTTTTCTCTCGGTTTCTTTAGCTTCTTCTCTCATTCATGCTAGTCACGTAACCAACACACAATGAAATGTTAATAGAGCGCCTCTTGATGAGACATCTGAATGTCGAGAGACACGGGATGCGACGTGGACTGAATGGAGATGGACAGGAATCCTACGTAACAACACTGCTGGCTGCTAATCCGTTCGTTTACCGACTGGCCCACCTGCCCCGTAGGGCCGGCAGCAATCACTCCCCGAGTTGCCGACCGGGTCCAATGAGATGAATGCGAGCAGCTACCAACATGCAAACCTAACCAAGACCTTTAAGATAACAGTGGCAACATAGGAAAACAATCGCCTTTCATTTAGAACAACAAAACAGAACCTTAGACGATTTTCATTCTCTACTTGCATTCACCCGAGCAAATCTTTTCTTTTTTTGTAACTTAGACATATTTTCATTTCTTCCCCTTTACTCCCTTCATACCTTATTCATTGACTAGGCTGGCACAGGGGCACACAGGAGCGCTCAGCAGGAATTGATCTTACTTTAAGTAACATGAGAAAAAAGCCTGCTAACCTTTTTTTTAACTTAGACATATTTTCCTTTCTTCCCCTTGAACTCTTCATAACTTATTCATTGACTAGGCTGGCACAGGGGAACACAGGAGCGCTCAGCAGGAATTGATCTCTCTCTCTCTCTCTCTCAGTAACATGGGAAAAAACACTGCTAACTATCGTTCTATTCATGGAGTCTGAACACAAATTTTGCGTGATGATAATAGTAAACAAATGTATATATTTTAAAGGAATTGTTTTAATCAAACATTATTTCGTCTAATTTCTATAAATGTTATATTTAGTGAACAACATAGTACTTCGGTAAATCTCCATGTTCATTTTTTTTCTAAACACACAAATCTATGTAGACAGGCCTGGACATCGAAAATAATATTAATGAAAATGTTTGTTTGTTTTTTTTGTTTTGTTTTGTTTTTTGTTTTGTTTTTTTGTTTTTTGTTTTTTTTTTCGAGAGGGATCGTAGCCGTATTCCCTTCTTAATATTAGAAACAAATTTCAAGTCAAGTGTGCTTTTCTAAAAGGCAAAGATGGTATCATGCCTCTGCACAAACACACACACACACATATAACGGCATGTTGTTAAAGACTACGGAACTTTTCCGTTTAATAACCTTTTCTTGTTTTTTGTTTTGGGTTTTTTGTTTGTTTGTTTTTTTTTGTTTTTTTTTGTTTTTTTTAGGGTTTTTTTTTTTTTTTTGTTTTGTTTTTTTTTCGCTTTCTCGAAAGTTTTTTTTTAATATTTGGGGTCAAATTTGTTTAAATAAGAGCCCAGTCGATGCCATTTTGCCAGGCGCTTTCGGTTATCGTCAACCATCATCATGGCTGTATGTTTTGGTTTGAAATAGGTTGCATATCATTTTAGTTTTATAGATAAAATTTTGACTATTTTATGTTTGTTTAACGGTATATCAACTTTTTATGGGTCATTTAATGTCGAAATTTAATTATCTTGTGTGCTTTGATGTAATAAAAATATGGCATATGTTATTCTCCTTTCATAATTGAATATATGGTAGATGATACTCAGCTTTTGTGCATATACATGTTTGTGTGGACATAATTACTCCAGTCAGTGATATGCATGTTTTATGGTGTAGTTTTGTTGAAGTTATATTTTGGAATACAGTTTGATTTCTTTAAGAATTTGTAGCATATTATATGGATTAATGTCATCAAGCAATTCTCTCGTGTTGGTTGTTTGATTTTATTTAACTGCAGATCTCAACCTCAGAGAATTATTTCATGCTGAAATCGAAATATTTTGAACGTTTTTACGACTTCAATTAAAAATATTTTGAGCGCAATTGTATGCCTTCAACTACAGATAAAATCTATTGTTGGTCATTTTGCTATAAAATCTATTGGTCATTTTGCTATAAAATGTATTGCTGGCCATTTTGCTATAAAATGTATTGCTGGCCATTTTGCTATAAAATCTATTGTTGGTCATTTTGCTATAAAATGTATTGCTGGCCATTTTGCTATAAAATGTATTGCTGGCCATTTTGCTATAAAATCTATTGTTGGTCAATTTGCTATAAAATGTATTGCTAGTCATTTTGCTATAAAATCTATTGTTGGTCATTTTGCTATAAAATGTATTGCTAGTCATTTTGCTATAACATCTATTGTTGTTCATTTTGCTTTAAATATGTAGTGGTGGTAATTATTATTATAAACAGGTATTGTTTGTATTTTACTATACAAATGTATTTTCATACTTTTACAGTGTTTTGATTTTGTTTTGGGTCTACGATCTGCCCATAATAGGTTCCACTACCCCGAGCCATGGAGGACCTGTGAACAAGAGCAATTCAAAGGTGGTTCCACGTTCCTCAAAATCTCCAATCTAACGATCAGAGACCTTACTGGGGAAATTAGGTTAAGCTTAAGTGAATATAACGAACCCAACTAGAATTCGAACTTGGCCCTCCAATTAACAATTCGTAATCATTATACATTACATTATCCGCATCACCTGGTGTACCCAACCAGTCAACCATTTGGGTATTGACCAGGTTCGACGTTGCCATAAGCCTGCCAGTGGGTTAAATGTTCATTATTTATTGCTGGCCATTTTGCTAGAAAATCTATTGCTGGTCATTTTGCTATAAAATCTATTGCTGATCTGTTGGATTAATTAATTGATTTATCCGTTTTGTACGCATAATAAACCTTTTGCGTGTTATTTAAAGCCAGAAAATATAGAATTTCCTTTATTTGTGATGATAATCGTTTACTGAAGCAAGTCTTAATAATTAACCCATAGCTGGAGGGAGTGAAGATGGACATATCTTTCCCAAGGGTATTTAAGCGTAAATGAATATAATGAACCCAACTGGAATTCGAACTTGACCCTCCAATTAACAATTCGGAATCATTATACATTACACCACCCGCAGCACCTGGTGTTCCCAACCAGTCAACCATTTAGGTATTGACCAGGCTCGACGTTGCTATAAGCCTGTGTTCATTATTTATTTAAGAGTAAATTTTATTGATGAGGAAAATTTAGTGTGTTTGGATATATGTGTGTAAGTGTTCTTTGTTTAATTCTATTATTTCTATTCTTCTTCTTTATTATTACTATTATTATTATTATTATTATATAACTTTTGAATGTATTGCGGCTATTTGATGTGTTGGAGAAAGGTAGCTTAGCGTTCTTTTTGTTAATGTGGAAACAAATTAAAAATTGGAGATATGAAAATCAAACAAGTAAAAAAAAAAATTAAATACCTGGGATTTGTTTTAACAGAGGACAGAAAGTGCGACACGGAAATCCGAAGGCGCATTTGGATAATCAAAGATGCCTTCCAAAAGCTAAGTAAAGTATTAAGAAACAGAAAAATCATTAATAGAAACAAACAAAGGAGTACCGAACTGTTATGTATTATCAGTCCACCTGAATGGCAAAGAATGCTGGACAATCTCAAGGATGAAAAAAGAGACTTGAAGCAACAGAAATGTGGTTCTACAGAAGGATGCTGAGGATACCATGGACCGAACACGGAAGGAACGAGGAACTTTTAGAGAAAATATGAAAACCCAAAATGAAACTTATAATTAACATCAGAAAGAGACCGTCGAAATTTCTAGGCTATATAATGAGGAAAGAAGGCTTGGAAAATTTGTAACTCACATGACA